TGTAAAAATTTTTTCTGTAATTTTATTCATATTGCTACAATTATTATAAATAAAAAATTTGAACGAAAACTATCGAGCCAGTGAGTCTAAACATCTAATAAAGCCGAATGCTATTTGTATTGTAGCTATCATATGATCTTAGACCAATTGAATTGCCGAATTTGTAGATTAGTATGTATAACATCAAAAAATCTGCACTTAGCGGAGTTACAAATTTGTTAACATAGTTTTGATTAATTATGATATTAGACACACCAGTACAATATGTACTGTACGCTAAAATTTTTCAGGCGTCATATAAATGGCACATCACTAAGTGCACCAATCGGGTCGGGCATAGAGGTCTTACCCGGGTCAGAAAATACCGACCCGGGCGGGTCAGGTATTGACCCAAATTAGGGTAAATGTCCGAATATTTGTCCAAATCCAAATAAATTTTATAACTGCTTAAAATTGATTTACACAAATTGTTTATATGTAAAATTGGGCCGTTTTACTGCGTGACCTCAAATAGTAGAATTATTTTGTATGAAACCGACATAAGATACTATCCTGATGATCATTTGAGTGCTGGCAAGGGAAACCCCGGAATTGCTAGTTATTCGAAATTTAATTTTCAGAACAGCTTATAAAATTTTGATATTTCTCTAAAAACAGAATTTCCGAAATTAAGAATTCTAGGTTTTCTCTTGGCAGCTTTTGTTACTTTTTTAGCTCGAATTAGCGCACTATATTTAGCAATTAACGTGAAGTATATTTCAACCTAAGGATTAAGATTAATATATACAACTAATTAAAAAAACATGTAACAACTAATCATGGCTAAAGATCGGTCATCAAAACTAATAAATGTGGCAGATCATAATGAATCAGATCATAATGAAATTTAGCTTAATTTATGTACGATTTTTAAAATTTTTGGGCCTTTTTTGTTAGTTTTTTTTATAGTTAAGTTAGGGTTTAGGATTAGAATTATTAGGAAAAGAGTATAAGTAGTATATATTAAATTGAAACTTCTAAATTTCACAATGATCTGATTTCGTTATAATCTGCCACAATAAATTTCTGTTTTCGATTTCATAACAGTCAAATTTTGATAAAATCAGCATAATTTCTTCATTTTATTCTAATAATGAGTAGCAATGAAATTCTTTTATCAATATTCTCAAAACGGTAAAACATACAGAGATAATAATATAAATGATCCCTTAATTAATAAAGGTTTTATTGTCCTGTCACTTTAATAGATTAGAATGACTAATTTTAGGTTCTGTATTTATTCATCTGTTGATCTTTTTTTAGGTTTGTCGATTTCGTTCACATTTTAACACCAAAAAAAGAACAGCCAATTGACGAATTATGGTTACACAGATCAGCATGGTGTGGGCGACCATATTCGTACAGTATGGGTCATAAAATACTTTATTTTAAAATTTGTACAATGCTGACTCGGTGTCATATATTACTGTATTAGGTTATAGTATATTAGTATGGTACGTAAATATATAGTTTTAAAATAAGTATTTTACACCCTTTATCATACTATATAATTTGGTTATCCATATTATACTGATCTTTTAGATTTAGATATCAACATAGCATAGCACAGATTTCAAAAATCCTATCATAAAATGTTGAGCTTTTTGTCTTATCAAAGAAGTTTTCTTCAAGTCAATTTACTTGCCTGTTAATTTAATGGTACTTAAAAGGTGATAACAAAATTCTGTGAAAGCTTAGTTTTTAGATACGTGTACAAAATTTTCGCAGAAGCTCTCTTAGTATTTGAATAGGTTTACATGCACATTTAAAATAATGCAAATTACATTTTCAAATTAGTATCTTAAATTATAATTTAAATATGGTATAATACGTATGTTAATAGAATTTATATTATTAAATAAAAAAATTAAAAAAAATCAAATAAGATAATTTATTATTTACTGGATTTGGCCTTTAATAACTGATCGTAATATCTATGACATGTAATATATCACTTATCAGATTTTTCACGAGTTGAATTTGATGAATTGGGGTCAAAATCCCAAAAACAGATCCCGAAAGAACGTAATACCGACAAAGTTAGCCGGCATTGCTGGTCGATTTAGTCAGTGTTATGTTATTCGGGAATCTGTTCTTCGGGATTAGACCCAAAATCGAATTTGATTAATTAATTGTAAACATGAAAGTTCGAAGTTTCATTTTCTCTTGACAGTGCTCAAATGATTTCTATACATTTTAGGTCTATAATGATTATTTTACAAGAGAATGTATAATTAACGTAATCATTTATTATGATTTGTAAAATTCTGGTTAACACGATCGATTGTGATTGCGAAGAAGAAATACACTTCTGTTGCATTAAAAATACCTTTAAGGATTGCGTTCTGAATGATTATTTTAAAGATTTGTCTGTGCTTATTATCGAAAGGTCATTTGATGCATTTTACTATAATAAAAGTATTTTACTACGCTTAGTTGATTGTGAATGTTGCGTGATAAAATACTTCTATTACATTTAAGAGGGTCAAACGACCTAAGAATAAGAACTGACAAATCTTTAAAATAATTGATTCAGAACTTAATTCTTAAAGGTTTTTTGATGCAATAGGAATGTGACCTCTTCACATCACAATTGATTGTGGAATAATTATTATCATTCGAATGATCAATGGGATTCAGTATTTTGCAAATCACAATAATTGTTCAATAAATTACCAACATGAGTGTATGAAGAGAACAGTGTTGGCCGATGACCTATGTCATAGCATTTTTTTTCTGTATGACCTTGGTCATATAATCATATGAATTTTGGTCATAGTCATATCGGTCATATTAAATGCTAATAAAAAATACTTTTACTATGACTCTTACTATATTAAAAAAGATCATAAGTCATATCAATCTTCAATATGACCGAGTTACCTATGATAGGTCAGAAAGGTCATACAGGTCATTTAGATCATAGGCCAACACTGCAAGAGAATGTATGATTAACTGTAATTGTTTAATAAATTACCAGTGTGAGTATGAAGTTTAATTCTGTTCATTTAACGATTGTGTTTCAAGAAAATGTATGATTAACTGTGATTATTTAATTGTTTAATAATTTACCAGCATGAGTATGAAGTTTCTATTTGCTTTAACATTATTTTTAAGGCAATGTATGATTAACTATAATCATTTAATCATTCAATAAATTACTAGTGTTATGGGTTCCCATGACTTGGGCCATTTAGGGCTTAGATGAATTACCTTAGATTTTATTTTTTCTTATTTTGTTGTTTTTTTTTTATTTATTTGTTTGTAAGTTGTACATCATACAATAGATCCAAAGATTAGTCATTGTGAGCCACAGGTGTGGGTTAGCTCACAATCGTTGTATGCTTAGTTCTCAGTATTATGTAGGGATTAATAATAGTAGAATCTCTCACAATTGTTGTGATAGTTCATGTACAAGTGTTGTGAGGAGGTGGAGAGAATCTAACTTATTCTAGGAGCAAGGGAAAGCGCAGTTGTATAGGAAAGAAAATGTATTTAAAGGCACTTAATTTTTGTTAATAAAGTTTTCTCAGACTTCAATGTCTTTAATGAATGAAGAATAGGTATCGAATTCATTGGAAAAACTGTTTATTAAATATTAAACGATTTATCTTTATTTATTCTTTATTATTTATTTTATTTATTCCATATTGTTAGTACCCTAGAATTATTTCTAAATACTACCTAGTTCTAACCTATTATCAAACAATTATTATTGTTAACCCTAAACAATACTATTAGTATAAAGTTATATGCCTGTTTTCTTGTTATAGACCCATCCTATTGTTTCCTAATTACTCTTAAAGTTATAATGCCATCCTCATATTACTCTTTATAGTTATTCTTAAATTATGTACATCGCCCAAATTGGGGCTAATTTAGTAAGAACCCGATTCTGATCTATATGAATCGAGGCCTTAATTCACGTGCCCAAGTCTCGACAAACGATACATATAAACCCTTTCGAGTTTACTATTGGAGCTAAACCGCCCTATATATTACGATCGTTCTTCCAAACAATAGTAACACTAGTGTGTGTGTGAAGTTTGATTTTCATTTGCTTTAACGTTTTTGTTTCAAGAGAATATATGTACGATTAACTGTGATCATCTAATCATTTAGTAAATTATTAGAGTGAGTATGAAGTTTAATACGTATGCATGATCAACCATAATCATTTAATAATTCAATAAATTACCAGTATAAAAGTAAAAATCACAATAAATCTAATACTAACTCAAACTTTACTACTGTATATGCCACATTAGAGAATAAGTTCCGCAACAGAATTCTATACAGTAAATTATAATAACTCCAATGCAACCAACTCAACTTTAACCACGTATTGTGAAAACTGAAGTAAGTTCTGTAACAGAAATTTTTATTCGAAAATCACATCACAATACGGTAATTTTAATACTAACTTAATTTTAACAACTATATACAGTATACTGTACTAAATTAGCAAGTAAATTCTGAATCAAAATAGAAATAATAATTCTAATACAACGATAACTTCACCGGATAGCAAGTAAATTCTATAATAGAATTTTTTACATCAAGTTATGGTAAAAATTATAATTATATAATACTGATTCAACTTTAACCACTGTGTATACTGTATTAGTAAATACTGTAACAGAATTTACTACGGTAAATCATGGTAAAATCACAATAATCAATGTAACTTATTCAAATTTAACTATATATTATTATGTTGCAATAGATGATAAGTTCTGTAAAAGCATTTTTAACAGTAATATAAGTTTTTTTAAAAAAAAAAATAGCGCGAATACACCATCCATCACACTAGTATTCATAATATGACGGTTGAATTATACATTTTTGGTCTATTTGTAATTTCTGAATAATTTGCTCTGGGGAGAATCTTCGGATACTTACCACTCACGTAAATTTGCACTTACCAAATCATTCGGACATATGAACATACGTACGATGTCTTAATAATTGGTAAGAGCAAATTCACGTGATGATAAAACTCTCTTTGCTATCTTATTTATTATTTAAATTAAATTTATAAGTTGACTTACGAATACAGGAATAGTAAATAAACTAATTTTATTTTAGAAGCATGATGACTCACTACAATTAAACCTTCCTTCTATGATTCTTAATCTAGCAACCTCTTTACAAATATTGCATCCCACATTATACAAGCTCATATACACCTTCCTCTCAAATCCTTC